TTGCGCAGAGAATTATATTCAGTTACTGAACCTCCAGTGGACTTAATTCACCTTAGTACTGGATGCATAAATTTTATTAGGCCTAATTTTTATTTTTTTCACAAGCTGTACAATTCATCCACAACTCCTTATGATACTTATCTTAACTTGCATCTTTCTCAATTTAAGCGGAGTTCTAATCACTCCCGTCATTTACCTTATGTCATGCAATTCACTCTTTTATTTTATTTTACGTTCTATCCGATAGACGCTTTCTGTATTATGTAGCTGTCCCTGAAAACCTACAATTATAATGACAGATATGTGGAGATATTTCTTTTGTTACTAAGAGCAAATTTACTATATATATATGCGATCCGACAGCCTCAGAATGCTACAGCTGAAATAGAGTAACACTTGGCTGAATACCTTTTCTTTTATATGACTCGAATGAAGTTATCTGATATAGAATACAGTAAGTATCATTGTTTATCATCATTGGAATCTTCTGCTAGCTGACATTATGTCAAATTCACAAGTACCATCAAAAATTGCCCTTTTAAAAAATTTCAGGCTGAGCGCAGCTGACGAGAAACGATGGTTCTATTTTATTCTGCACAAACCGTTGTTTTTTATGTATTCAAATACATAAACGGGAATATGTTTAAGAATATAAACAGATGAAGGTATTATAAGATTCTGATAATGTGAATATTTCCTAAAGTTACTTCCCTTCATAAGTATTATAAAAGCGAGAATAACGTACAGTGTGGAATGAACTGAACTCATTTTATGTGATTAAAACTGTCCGTTGTCTTGATAAAGCACCAGTGAATATGGGATACATATGATCAGTGACTGGTTCCGTCTGTCTTATATTGAGATATACCGCATTTTTTTCCCAAAGAGTAATTTTATTATCGTAAGAAAAGGTTCATATACCAGAATCAGTCGTCTTAAATGTTTATTATAGAGGTTTCATTACATAGCTTTTCTGTCAAACAAATCCCAAAAAAGATGTAAACAATGGATAAACTTTTATGAAACAACGAAATGCATAAATTAAGATTTTTAACGCTGTGAGAATGAAAGTCAGTTAAAAATTAATATTCGAAGCGAAATTAAAGCAAGAAACCTCTTAAATATTCCACGTAAAATGAAATAGGATCCAGCAGACATAAATTAGAAAGAAGAATATAAGCTTATATTCTCTAACCAGTCACTGAACGTGTGATTTTTCTTTACGTCAAACGACATGAAATAGATTGTTAAAATATATACATAGTATTCTGCTGCTGCTGCTGCTAATGCAGTATTGAACTGTGAGAATTGTATTCTGATGTTAACACCATCATGTACAATGATTCTGACTGTGAGAATAATATTCCGTTTTAAGCTATTGTCTGTACCACACCAGCTTTGTAAAAATACCCATGTAAGATGCCTGACTTAATCAAATATTTCTAGAATTCATTCTTCTTTCTAGTACCTAAGACAGTGCTTACGACCATAAATACCATGGTCTGAGACCGATGTAACTTATGTACATCACCTACTGTGCTTAGGAAGGCTTCGTTTGAACTCTAACTCACTTCAAAGACTCAGGGATTGACTTGCTACCATCAGGAAATAATCTCGTTGAAGAATATAGGCTATATATATATATATATATTGCTCAAACTTTCGTGGATGGAGTGAGACACGAATCCGTGATTAGAAGTGGACGGCTTACACTGGTGAATCACAGCCCTCTTGAGTGACAGTGTTCGAGTATAACAAATATTATCATATGCCGAATATACTTCTTCCATAGCTAAGAGACACAACATACATCATTTAACCGCCAACAGATGTCTAATTTTTCACAGTCAATACTTACGACTTGCTACAGATTTCACTGTAGCTAAAATGTAAGTCACTTGGTTTATAATTTTAACCATTGTTAACGCTATTAACGTGTAGTGAGTCACACCTACATGTATGTAAGAACATTAATAAGCAGTTAGATCTAAGTAATCGCCGTTAACATAAAGGTATGCAATAGCCACGTGACAGTAATAGCTGGCAAAATAGAAGTAATATACAATCGGTGGAGGACGGTCAAGTCTATTTAACTATCACAAATAACGGGCGTAACGTATTGTGGGATAGCATTCTTTTGCAGCGTTGCATAAAATACTGTCAGCTATCACTTGCAACCACTTCACTTTTGTGAAATTTCCTCTTTTTCAAACTTTGCTGGAAAAAAGATGACGTTATTTGAGTTTGTAACCTTAAACACTTCTTAAAACAACGCTGTAAACTTTATGGTCTACACCATTTCTTTGTTACTAATTTTTTTTAACAAGTGCATATTAACTATGGAGGAACATCATTTTATTGACTTGAAAAGGGAGTATAGGAGAATTACAAAATTACCACGAAATAAGATATCAAAATTAGTCGATTAACTGTTCTCTGGAAATTTAGAGCACAAAGGCGATTAACAAGGCTATCTATATAGAATGTATACTAAAAGTGCTGTTCGCCAATTACATGAAAAACAGCTGCAGATTACTGAATACTGAACTTCAGATGGCCGAATGACTGAGTAAACTAACATCTTATTTTCATTTTATACGACATTTTGTGCAAAACTTAATTTTTTCCGGAATTTATAAGTCTGTTGCACACAAATACCAACTTACATAATGGGATTTACACAAAGCAACGTAAGTTGACAACAACAGGTATTAGCTATGCGCTGACAGTTACCGAGTGGAGACGGTTCCATCAGACTGGGGTAAGTCACTTATTATACCAATATACAAGAAGGGAGACAAGTCCCCATGTGATAATCATAGAGGAATCAGCCTAACGAACATAGTCTCTAAAATCCTAGGCTCAGTAATCATGAACAGACTAAGCAGAACTCGGGAGGAACAAACGAGGGAAAATCAAGCAGGCTTTAGGCCAGGTAGAGGGTGCATAGATCATATCTTCACTCTCCGACAGATCCTAGAACATAGACACACTTTCAGGCGTCCAACAATTGCCATATTTCTTGACTTGAAAGCGGCCTTCGACTCCGTGGATCGAGAGATACTATGGCAATGTTTGACTATGAAGGGAGTGCCAAGAAAGTACATTGCACTAATCAAGGCACTCTACTCAAACTCACGTAGCTGTATAAGGGCTTATGGGGAACTGTCATCTGAATTGATAACAACCAGTGGTGTCCGTCAAGGATGTCCACTTTCCCCTTTTCTGTTTAACTTCATCATAGATATACTAATGAAAGTATCCTTAACCGAACGTAACGACTTATTACCAGGGTATAGTCTTATAGACTTAGAATACGCAGACGACATAGTCCTGTTAGGGGAGGACGCTGACAAAATGCAGTCTTCTGAACACCTTGAGCAGCAATCTTCGTATGTTTGGCATGCGATTCGCCCCTGCGAAATGTAAGATGCTGCTACAGGACTGGACTGCGTCAACTCCAAGCTTAGTGATAGGGAGTGAAGTGATAGAACATGTTGACCACTTCACCTATTTAGGAAGTTGTATCAGCACCAACGGATTGATTGGTGACGAAATCACAGCACGGACACAGAAAGCTAGGGCTGCTTTCGCTAACTTACACCGTCTCTGGCGTAGGCGTGACATCCGACTGTCAACCAAGGGACGTGTATACTGCTCAGCAGTTTGCTCCGTCCTTCTCTATGGCGGTGAGTCGTGTCCATTGAGAGCGGAAGACATGAAGAGATTGTCTGTTTTCGACCACAGATGTTTACGATCTCTTTCTCGCGTTAGGTGGTATAATAAGGTAAGTAATGTTGACGTTAGGCGCAGAGTGTTGGGCAAAGAGGGAAAATCACTCGAAGAGGCTATGAAGTTATATAGATTGAGATGGTTAGGCCACGTGCTGCGCATGCCTGACCATCGCCTCCCCCACCCCGAGGGGCATTACTAGCTGATATAGGTGCAGGTTGGAAAAGAGTAAGTGGTGGCCAAACAAAAACATGGCATCAGTCCATGAAATCCTTGACAGTTAAACTGAGTCAGGTAGGGAGATGCAGACTTCCGGGTTGGGGCCCGCCCTCGGGACTCTAAGAATCAATGGCTGGAAACAATAGGTGACATGGCTCAAAATCGTTGTCAATGGCGCAGATGTATTCAGTCTCTGTAATCTTTCATATTCCTTTCTACCATTACTCATTCTGTTTCACTCTTATACTTGTCAAAACTCTATTGATTCTCTTCACTGATTTTCTTGTCTACCTTTGTGTGCTATTTGGAACGTGGCAACTCGAACTGCTGCACTTCGGTGCCAAGTTCTATGTTGAATCCAGACAGACAGAGAGTGGTGACAAAGCTCTAAAACTGCTTCATATTGCCGGGGATCAAAGCATAACTGTATCTAGACAACGATCAAAATTCAAGCGAAAATAAGCTACATACAGAAATGTAGAAACGACCTTCTTGTCTCTCATATAGGGAAGTTTTGGCTTATTGCCAAATCACTCTAATGCCAATCACTACATAATCAAATCAAAGCCGAATAGTATCATACATTCGGTGACGTATAGAAATCTATAAGTGATTTGCACATATTTTCATAAGTGATTAGAGAATTGAACAGAATAAACTGAAAACAATTCTCTCTAACTGAGAAGCCATTTAGTGTTAATCACTAAGACTACAAAAGTGAGCAACAAAGTCACCTGAGGAGTATGATATACTGGAACTGAAAATTCAATGAACACTAGTAAGAAAACCGGATGGCTGAAGTGGCCAGTGGTAAAATGTATCTCTCAAGTCAATAGAAGATGGAAAAGAAGAAATGTAAATAATAGGTGACTTATTTGTCGCCCTAAATAACTTGTAACAGAAGAGTAACAAAATATTGGATGGATTATCTAAAATGTGGGATATTTAAGTCAGATCAGAAGGTTATCATTAATACGATCTCTACTCCCTGAAGACTACGGAAATGGAGAGAGTTACAGTAAACAGAGACTCAAGTTAAAACAAATACATGGAGAACTATTTTATTTCAACATTTGATTCATACATTACATTTAGTCATTAGGTTTAAAGAAGCTAAATAACTAGTAAAAGCTGCCTAAAGAAATGAAACATTTCGTCCAGATGAATAAAATCAAAGAAAGAAATAATAAAAGTTAAATTAACAATAATACATAAAGAAAAAGATAACCTAACCAGGTTAATATTGCTATTATTTGCGTCTATAAGTAACACAGCCATTTTAGTGTTCACAAATAAGAAAACATAAATAACTGACAAAAGAGAGTAAAACATTGATAAGATAACTAAAAGAAAATCACATCGAGTTATACCTGAGGTAGGAATTCAAAAGAAATAATGAAGTTACCATTTTATGTAGCAAGTTGCTGCCAAGGAAGTTTAAATCGAATAGTACTATTTTATATATATATATATTTACAACACGGGATTATGCATGTAAGAAAATATAATTTAAAACTCCTACTTGTTGTCTGGAAGATATAGATGAACAAATCAAGTTGATAACAGATACCTAGGTAAATGACGAAGATACATCCGAGAAATCTGAATATATACAGAGATAAGACACAAGTGTGTTTTTACATCAACTTTGATCACTGTTTTTGATTTTACGTTTGTACACAGGTCCACGCGAAGTCATGTATCGCGTAACAGTCGAACGTATATGTTGCTGAAGGGGCAGAGAGAACGTTGGAGGACATCCGATGGTTGAACGTTTTAACTCCTTTGAAACAAAGCAATAGGTCAACTGCGGGGAGAAAAAGTGGAATAAAGTGAATACAATATATACATGAGGCATGATAACTGCATATTAATTTCGGTAATGTGGAAATCGGCTTTACGTGAGAAATTTAATAGCATGTTTTCGACAGTTAACAGCACGTTTCCTTATTACCATACCTCTGTCTCACACCTCTGTTTACTGTCTATATTATGCATTTCCCCTACTTTCTTCTCTACCTTTGTGTGCTACATGGAGTGTGACGACTTGAACTGCCACACATATGTGCAAAGTTCTTTGTTGAAAACCGACCGACCGACGTGCCACAGCTGGATCACCTGAAATGAAGCACAGCATAAATGTCCATCATCGAATTACATGACTATAAGGTATTCGAAACAAACCAATACGTTTATGTGATGTGTCACCAATGACGAATACGACACAATGGATTTATAAACCTGGTCATAAATACATATATACGACTTCAAGGTAAAGAGGGTAGTCTCTTAAGACAACTGATTGCTTCACTCTAATCGTCTAGATAGCACATTCCAGTCCTTAAGACCAACTTTGAGATTTAGTGCGACGCACTTCTTGGTGCATATAATTCACCAGGTTAATGTTTTAAAAATTAAATAAATAGGAGTTAATATTTTGACTGGATACTAGTAACTAGTATGATGTGTCTAGTCCTTTCTTTGGAGTTAATATTGCTCATAACTTTAAATATGATGCAAATTTAATGGTATAAAGTTCAGCTCACCTTCTTTGTTACGTGAAGGAAATCTTCTTTTGAATCTATGCGACCAGTTAAACAATTCGGTAGTCGATAAGGCTTCAGAAGTCGCAAAATGTAATTTCCTACCTAAACATAATTAAAAAAATATTCTTAAAATGAGAATGTTAGGTGCAACTTGCAGGTGTTAGAACTAAAAACTAACGGCTTTCACAAGCACTGATTCATCACAGATTGAATAAAATGTCTGCAGATTCAATTTGCGCTAAGCAAATGGAATGTGAGCATCTGAAGTTCATCTCTGAAAATGAAATTGAACTTCAGAGGCTAAAGATTTGCAGTCACTTGGTGAAGAGTCATATCTTGCAGTTACCTAGAGTCTATGCGAAGAGGAACGAAAACCGCTTAAAAGTATTCAAAGGTTAAAGCAAGTCACCAAACAGACAATAATAATTTCTTTGATCGCAGATTAAAGCTACTGAGAAGACGGCAACCAATTTTTAAAAGCCTAGAATATTGTTAACTTCGATACGCATACATATCAGTGGAATAAAGAATGTGAGCGAACACACAGCTCCCAAGGCGTAGAGAAACTTTATTGACCAGGTAATTATGATTGTCAGATGTTAAATCAGTTGCTTTTCAAAATTCGAAAACCGACTTCCACTCAACTGATAAAGAGAGAAATCTTTCAAAATAGGAAATATTGACACGAAATACTACACAAAATAAAAGAACTAACTGGAGTATTGTTACAGTCACGATGATAGGGAAAGTAGAGAAGGCACAGAGAACAACTTTGAACTGAGTAGTGAATAAAATGAGGAACAACGATAATTTTTAGCGTTGAAACGAAATTTGTGACACAATCGATATTTATTGCAGTAGATAAATTAAAACAGAACGCTAATATATGTGGCGAACACAACCAAAGTGAAAACAAAAGAAATACAACACGTGTTTACATCAATTACCTTATTAGTAAATTGTTTTTTCAAACGTTTATATTCCTCTTCACTAAGAAGGGTTTTCTAAAAAAATAGATAGAACAGACACATAAACAGTTGAACATGAAATATACTAAACAATCTAATCATAAACTAATAAAAGGAAGAAACTCAAAAATATTAGTTACCTCTTGATATGATTTTCCGTTTATCAAAGGTTTATTCCATTGAACGCTGTTAGTTTCCTTATTGTAATAATACAGTCGCCCATTCGAATCGGCAGCTGATTTCCATCCAGGGGGTAACGAGTGCAAATCATTGTCTGAATATCGTTTCAGTTCTTCACACAGACATGTAAACTTTAAATCAAACAATTACAAAAGTACATCTCTATATATCGTGCATATGAATTTTTTGCGTCAAGACAAACTGTAACATTAAAAATATGGAAGGTGAGTGAAAATCCGTGACTGCTAAGATAACAAAGTTATTATGAAAGGCTGAGAGCTTTCCAAAATTTCATGGAGATGTAGTGGCATTTTGAAACGAAAATATATGCTTCATGGAAGTACGGTGACAATTTATATCAACTAAATACCTGTTAAAACGTCACACTGGGTGAAAACAAAGATAATGTATATCAACAGAAAATGTACAAAAGCTTCTCTTGTAAGTTTAAAAAATCCAGCGAAGTATTTAAACTAATCAAAGTTAATTTACTGGACACATTGACAGATCGGTTTACGGAATGTGTATACAATCCGAAAATTGACAACTTTTCAACATCCTGTTTAGGTATTTACACAGCTTCTTCTATCAGAAGCGAAATTAATTTCCCTAGCATCATGGGTTCGATATGTTTACATTTGAAATTATTACGCATACTTCTCAATTCGCCAACTGGCACACGAATATGTCCAAATTTCTTTCGAAGTATTTTCTATGAACACTTTTTGGTCTACCGTAATGAATGTACAAATGTTTTAAAAACTTTAAAGTCTTAATAGTCTTTTTCGTGAAAGCTCTACGTAATCGAATTTATACTAAATTCCGCCTGAAACCAAGAAATATGAATGTCAACTTTAGCACTTATTTGTAAGTCGATACTGTGGAAGTTGAACGGTAGAGACAGACTGTTGAAGTCTTCGTTTCTGTCCAAAAACAGCGTAGTTATTTTTAAGCTTTGCCTTTTAAATTAAAAATCCTTTATTACTACCAATGTTATAGTGTTCAGTAAACTGACCATGAATTAGTTACCTACACACACGATCAAAAAATTCCAATTACACAACCTTACTGTTAGGAAAACAACCACCATTAAAAAATGAACTTTCATATTGCCTGGTGTGGAAAAAAGCCACACCTTTCCCAAAGTTACCTTAGTGAAACATATATGTAGAGAGGTATTATCGAGCAAACCTTAATTTGATATTAAAGGCTAGCTTACTTAAATAAAACATAAAGATCTTTATACGTTAGAAAGCTTCTCCCAATGACTAATATAGGGTAATATCAGGAAAAAAACTGCATAAAAACTCACTAAGTCCGAATCCTTGGAGGTTGATAATAAACTCAGCATAGAAGGCAAAGCCTTCAATAAAGTTGAGACAACAGGCATGCCTTTTAGCTTCTCCGTTGTATTACATAAAAAAAGCGACTGTGAAGTCTTTCTAGGACCACATTCACTCATAAGTGCAGACAATAACAGCTAAATTTTATTCAGAAAAACAGTGAAGAGATATGTAACAGCGAAAATTGAATACAAATACACCACCGATTAAACAAATAACACACTATTCCGTAATTTCACAGTTAATATTGAAATCCACTTACACATACCACTTTCATAGTGACTATAAATTAATAATACAATTTCAGGGAGAGACATCCTGTACGGTTAAAAGCATTTAATTAACATCTGTACAACACCTGAAAAGGTTAGTGTGTGAGTTTCTTCCACTAAAACAAAAACCTAACTCCATTCGAATAAGAAAGTTTCCATTAGCCGAAGAATATTGAATATCACTGTGGAATGTACACAGAACTCATCCTCCTCTGCTTTAATAGCCACGTGGTGACCGTTGAGAACCATTTCTTGTCTTGCCTCTTCTTCCCTCTTAAAACGCATGCAAACCTTCCCGTTAGCATCAAGTTCAGAGAGCTCAAGTGTTATTCCACACAGGTTCTCTCACTGATGCCACGTAGTTACTCTGAATTTGTCCTGATGGCTGCAGTGTAGTTATCTTTAGTAGTCCTGTCTTTCAGTTCCCCAGTGTTGAACTTGAACTGTGCTCTTCGGGTAGTGAGGGCGATTGTTACTTCCCGGCTGCCCACACCGTGGAAGTTGGTTGCGTGACCGCAGAGCCCAGGGGACAACTGCTTGAGGCCGGTCACACACGGCCTGTTTTTGTTTGTTCTTTTTTTATTTGGTGTGTCTCAGTAGCGTATTTATCACTTCTGCCCTGTGACACGGCAGCAGAAAGCGCGGTCGTTGTTAATCCGGGCCCCGACCGATCCGGCATGATATTTTGTGATTTGTTTGAAGTCATAGGATTGAATTGGGTAACTGCTTTCAGTCTAACCGCTATCCAAAAACCTTTCTGGCATGGTAAGACCTGCAGGAACATAAGTTCCAGCCAGTATAGCTTGTTGGGTCATTGCGGTGTTCAAACCCGACCACCACGTCAAGGTAGCAGCTTTCACTTGAACTGTGGTCTGTCTCTAGTTTCACTGAAGGATTCCAGCTTCACCCTGAGGGTCTCTTGAACTAGATGATGGTCCGAGCCCGCATCCACTTCCCTTCTCGACACTGTATCCTTTTATTTTTTTTATTTTTGATTACGGCTTGATGCCACACCGTATTTTCAGTACAAGTATGGAATTTTCAGCATGGATATCGGTAGCCCAAATTTTGCAGGCCGACCATAGATATCGGGTGTGCGTCGGCAGGGGATCGAACCAAGGACCATGTGCATGGTCGACGAGAGTCCTAACCACTGTGCCACCGACGCAGGCTGTGTCTGCATCTCTTTGAGATTGAGGTCAACTCTTTCTGGTTTGTGGTGTGTCTGCCAGGCGAAATCCTTGTCGTCTTGTGCATACCCTTTTGCATGCTCATGCTACGTAAAATCACCAAGTTGCTGGAGGTGCAGACATCTGCAAACAGTTCCCCGTTAACATTCATTCAAACGAAAGCCTCCCAACACATAATGAATTCTCTCCCTGCATTGTCTGCTCCCAGTTTGACATCTATATGGCCCACTGGGATTCTGGTGTCTCTATTTGGGATCTTGTCCATTACTGTCTGCAGTTGTCTACTGAGATCTTTCTTCTCTTGTTCTGTGATGTTTGTACGTATGTAGCGTTGGATAATTGCAAACTTTGACGAACAATATCGGGAATACGCCTAATACTGCAATAAAAGTTCTGACAGCTCTCAAATCCAGAAGGTGAAAAGATGCTTACTGAAACTAAGACAATGTATAAATATTCTTAATTATAATGGCAATGGATTTACCTTTCGAAGATGATCTACATCTTTCTCGTCATCAGAAAGATTTGACTGGTTATAATCATCTGGTGTTGGTGCAGAATATTCAGACACACAATGTTTTTCACGAGCTCTAACTTGAGCTTCAAAAAGCATACGCCTTTCAGCTTTGGTCAGAAGTGATAAGTTATTTGAAGAATTTAATTCTATTTGCTCTCTAACAGATGACTCCAAATTTTCACGCAGGCTTGATAAAATACAAAAAATGATTAAACGATGATGCGTAACAAAAATGCGATTCAACAGATCAAGTTTGATCAATATTGTTTAGTCACAGAAATTAGTCTACAACATAATGAACGAAATTGGATAGATGGACACACTCAGAAAATGCAAAACAAGCTCGAGTCTAGCAACGGAAGGACAGCTAAACAGATCACCATTTAAAAAAGTGACCTGAATGATGAAAGTGTTCGAATGGATGAGTAGAGTGTTGTTTTGGACCCGATTTAAGTGCAGTCATTTGATTTTAACAGTGTTATATAGATAATGGAATAAGCTGACACAAACAGAAAACAGTGATGGTGACCGATAATTTAGGCAAGCAGTAAATTTCAAAATAAACATGGGAGTTATGGGGCTAACAGAAATCTGATACTTCAACGACAAAGAGATAACTCTATTTAATTTTCATAAGGAAAAACAGTGGGAATAAAATTTCAGAACAATCTTAGTATGCTCCTCAATCATAAGACAAGCTTTGAAAACACACAATTACTCGACAATCAGACGTTTATGTAACTATTCTCCGATAGTGTTAGCTTTTCATAAGTGTCAATAGGATGTAACGAACATTAAGAAATGCCATGTTATCATGAAATTATGTCATTTTCTAAAAATATCCAGAATAAATCAACAATTTCCACAGGAGTAGCTAAAAAGATCTGTTGTTTGTTTCATGATAAAAGATATGTCTCAACTTAAATGTCGTAGTGAAATTATAATGGAAAGCTACTGCTCACATTCTGCAACATTACGAAGCAATCAGTATGCCAAGTCTAGTGAAGCGGAAGAAGTAGCAAAAGATGTGACTACAAACGGAAATATACATACCGTATATTTAAAAATTCAAGGGGTACACATCATTTGCAATATGCTATAATCCAAAGACATAAGTAAAAGTTAATCAGTGAACTGTGCTCAACTTATCAAAAAATCCAAAATGTAAGTTTTATTCATCACTCAAGTGCAAAAAAGACAGTACTGCTTTTGTTTTCTGACCTCACTTTCAGCTGGCTCACAAGCTTTTATTTTCTACTAACATCTTTCCCATGTCACACCAGGACACGGAGACGTCGCTTTCCGTTCGGGTTCAACACGAGGTCCCAGGGTGTGATATCAATCGACGGTTTTCCTTACATTTTTGGGCAACAAGTTTTTAACTGTCTTGTCCTCGTTACTTATGCTTTCTAGCCGACCATCTAATCTTGGGTGTCAAGAGAAGGTGGCTGTTGATGAAAGTCAGGAATTGCTTCCCGCAATATCTTAAGCCTCCAAAGTATGTACAACCCCTGAGATCACATTAGTGTTTGGTATCTTCATTAATTTCGTCTTTTCTGTGTTCTTCCGAAGTCCTGTCTTCGCTGTCCGCCCCTTCAGTCAACTTGCTGGTTTTCACTTGTAAATCTCCGAATTCATGAGATGTATCATCATTTGCGAAATCCATATTTTTTAGGGTTTTTAAATGGATCCACGGTCTGCTGTATGATGCAGCCCACCAAAATCAGGAAGTTCATCAGCGATAATAGGCAGTCTTGTCTTACTTTCATCTTCATTTCAACGGCTTAAGTGAGCTTTCCATTGTGAATTACTCAGCATAGTGAAACAGCATATAGCTGTTGAATGACATTTACACGCCTTCGCTATCGCACTTCGTAGTCCTAGAGCAGTTTTCTAATTATTTCGTGGTCAACAAGGTTAAAGGCCTTTACAAAGTCGATGAACATGTAATCGAGTTGACTGCCATTACTTTCCATCTGTCTACAGTATCCTAATTAGTGGTAATGCAATGACCGATGACGTCTCCGATTCAGTTTTCAGTGCCTTTGCAGAGAATTCCAACTAATCTCGCTATCTATGGGTTTTTATTAAGTCTATCGCCTTGAAGACTTCTCTGCTTCTCATTGTCAGAGTGATGGACCTTTCCAGAATTCACTGAAGTCATCAGTCAAGTGTTCCCAATATTTCGCCTTTTAGGTGATTGGGTTTCTTTCACTACCTTTCACTGGGTCGATGCAATGTGTAGTGATATTAGGTGTGAACTAGAACAAAACCCATTGACTAAATCCTTACACTGTCAATCACACAGTAGTTATTCACGAAGAATCTAATTGCATTTTTCAAAAATAAAATAAAAACCGTATACCAGCGAAATCTAGTGATGCGGTGTGACATGGCACCCATGAAAGTATAGTACTAGGCTTACACTTTATTTGACTGATATTTATTTGTATTATGTTGAATCCACGATTTATTGGGAATGGTTTGATCATCTGTTAAACAAAATAAGAAAAGCGTACTTAATAAACGAGGCCTTTCTTCAAAACACTTGACCACTGAAAGCAAATCGAATATTAATAAAAAAAAACAATAATACAGCCGAATATCATGCTACTAACATTTAGTCCGACACCACTATGTTCTTAAGCTTATCTTCCAACCAAAGAGATAAGAAACAACCAGATAAGCTTCATGAGTACCACCGGTGATTACCCTTGTGCAAGTAACGTAATAATAATAATATAACAATTTAAACTAAATGCTAACGAAATCTAGGATGACACAGTCCTTAAAGCTGCCTTAAGAAATATCACAAAACCTGTCATTTATCCCCTTTAAAACTCTAATCAATGCATCACACTTATATGACTACTAACCTTTGTATTCTGATCCCCAAGATATGAGAGTTGAACCAACTGGATGTGATATATGCAGCATTTTTTCAGTTTCCTGACGCTCTAGTCGAGGTATCCGGTAATTCTCCTTCTACAGAAAAACAAATAATTTTACAATTAAAAACAAACTCTAGAAGTAGGCAACTCTGAATAAACATAAAAAGGGAGTGATATGCAAAATGTAGGAGATACTATATGGGAAATCTAAGCATAAGATTGTTATTAACGTACAGGTAATTGGGACCACTTTTCAAGAAGTTCGCACGCCAGAGCCCTGATTTCATCTATCCATTCCGTATCCGATTTACCTTCGCATAATTCAAAAGAGGTATCCATCTCATTATTGTCATTGGTGGAAATAGAATCAATTTCCAGAGTATCGTCCGCAAGTGTATCAGGAGTAGTATCACAATCGGAATCTTGAGTTTGAATGTTGAAAATGCGACATTCATCTGTGTACTCAGGAAGTGTTGGTGTGCGTGATTCACAAGGATTATCTTTCCCAGAGGAACTACAAGAACCAGGAGTAGAAGGCGATGGCCCACAGAGACCGTTTTTGTCATATGTACATACAGAACATGTTTCGTTGTCCTTTGCACTTTTTGAGGCTGAAAAAGAAATAATTCGAAATCCGAAAATAAAATAGGTAAAAGGACAATGGAGGTGAATAGATCCTAAATTACAATTCACTTCACAAGGAAAATCTTCATGCATATTATTCATCATATACAGGAAAAAATGGTTGAATTTTCAAAATAAATGTATATTGACTATTGTTGAGGCAAAATAGTAATAGTTCTTTCAATGTTGGTTGTTGACATTAGAATATCAGAAGTGTTAAAACAGTGCAAGAATAAGATTTTTGAATTTACATTTCTAGACTATTCATGAGTCTTATTTTGATATCTTTGCCGGAAAGTTATTCCTGTATTCAGCCTAATTTACAGTCAGATGAAGCATATTCTATGAATTTTATCATTATTAAAAGTCTTAGTACATTATAGGCATCAATAAATGCACCACAGAAAAGCTCACAGTTGGTACAAGGGTTGGAATACTGCCTGGACTGGCAGACCGAAGCAGATATTCATAAGAGGCCACTTCATAGACTCAGGTTTGCAGCGTGATCCACAAGACAGTGGGACAGCATCCCCATAGTTACTATTGTCAAAAACAGGTTCACACACCCTTCAATCCTAGAGTCTATGTACGCCCTTGGTTTGGAATCAAAATTCTCCAGCTCTTCTGAATAGACCTACATTTTCACCAGTCTGGTTGTGTGTGAGGAACATACCCGACGCGTGAAGGCAGTGAATAGGAGTTACCTCGTATAGGCTATGAAAATTATTCTTTGCTCAATTATTTTGCATTTTATGAAATTGATTAGACATTTAAATAAAATCAATATGAGATAAAGTGCATTCAGAAATAATATTAGTGTTATCAATCAAATACAATCAGATGGGAGATAAGATGTTTTTTACAGTGAAAATAAGTAACTTGTTAGAATGTTATGATGTGAATTGAATACATTTTAAGGTTATCCATAATTCTCCGATTTGACTGGTAATAATATCTTCCATATCTCTGGTATTTGCGTTGCCTCCATTCATATACATGTGTGGAATCGATTAGATATTGGAATAAAAATCAACATGAGATAATGTACATTCAGAAATAATAATACGAGTGTTATTGATCAATTACAATGAGATGGGAAAAAAGACGAGTGTTTCTATAATCATAATTAGTTACTTCTTAGAATGTTGTGATGTGCTTGAATGGAAATAGAATATTAAGATTATTTATCATCCTCTTCTGTTTTGACTGGCGGTAGTGATATCTTCCATATTTCTGGTATTTGCATTGAGTCATTTCTGTTGCATGTATTGGGTGTAGACTCAATGAACAAGGATTCCGTGATCAACCTCTCTTTCCACTTACCTATGTTACTCTTTGGAATTTTAACCCTATCCCACCCTATTGTGTTAATGCATGCCACGCAATCGCTGAGCTTTTTCTAAATTACTCATATTCTCGGGGTCAACCATTCTTACCTTAGATAAATTCTTATGTTCTGATAATCTGACTACCCTTGACCTACTAGTCTGACCTATGTAGTTGACCTCACAGTCATTGCAAGTTATTTTGTAAATTATATTATTTTGTTTAATGGGGTCCACCGGGTCTTTTTCCCTACAGAGCTTCTCCCTGAGTGAGTTTGTAGGTTGAAATGCCACTCTAATTCCTGCTTTATTGAGAATCCTACGTATGGTCTCAGATATCCCCTCCTTATATGGTATAATAGTAGATGCTTTATATTCACTCTTATTTATGTTATCATTACTAGTTTTATAATTATTTTTATTTCGCTTCTGACCTATTCGGACCTTCCTAACGAATTTTATAGGATAGCTATCTAACACCAAACAGTTATTCTTCTATGTGTTTCATTTCATCATTTAGGTCTTTTTGTACTACTTAGTGCTACTGCTCGGTTTATTAGACGCTTAACTAAGCCTGCCTTTACAGACAACGGATGAGATGAATTCAATTCTAAATATCCAATAGAATGCGTTGGTATTTCATAAACGCTAGTGTGCAGTTTGTCTTCTTCTATTCGTTTTATTTTTCAATCTAGCATAGCTAATTCTCCTTGTTCATTTTCCCATTCAAATGTCAATTTAACTCCCTCTACTAGTGAGTTTATATGTGTCAAGAAGCTAGAGATATGTTCTGTTTTTAACACTGTGAATGTATCATCCACATAACTCCACCATATTTTTCGAGTAGGATTAAATTTATTTAGGGCAATGTTTTCCCATATCATGACATTCCAACAAGTTACTTATTTTCACTGTAAAAAACATCTTATCTCCCATCTGATTGTATTTGATTGATAACACTAATATTATTTCTGAATGCACTTTATCTCATATTGATTTTATTTAAATGTCTAATCAATTTTACTCATGTATATAAATGAAGCAAAAAGTTGTGTGATTGACTTCATTTGATTATGAGCAATAATTTGTGCTCGAAACATCATCAGTTAATATTGCTGTACAACATAGTGATTTATCGAAATAAAATCTTATCCATAATGGAGTTATACTCTACCACAATGCCCAAGGTTTTATACTTATATGAACTAACGGGTGCTCTTAGAATCTAAGTAAAATGAACACGATAACGGTTATCGAACTCTGTAAATGCACTCATGCCACTACTTATCTTTAGGCAACACTGGCTTTAAACAAGATAGGCACTATTTTGTCTGATTACCGTTTAAATTAACATTGGGTTCATAAGTGACATTTTTAGCATCTAGTGGTGCGAAACTAAGGCGTCATCCCCCCCTCCTCGCAATCTTGACTATACATATGTACACTGGCCTACAAAATGATTTGCATACCTCAATCATCAACATACGTATCACTTATGTGAAGGTCGCATCTTACACAAGTCAAACAAGAAAGTAAGAATATCCCGAGATTTTTGATGGGGATAAGCGAAAAAACGCTGAAAGGGATATCTGAGAAAATCACCCTTGTGGCAGGTATTGAGACAGTTGTACGATGACCATTAAAGAAGCAGACTGCACATTAATAATCTATACTTTTTAAGATTTTGACTTATGCAAAAATTTATGAACATGGGATAGAGAATATCAGATACTATCCGCTTTCTATGAGACAGCTCTCGAATAAGCGTTAAACCAGAAAATTGATATCCCACATCGAAAATCTACAAATCAATCAGGGGTTTGTGAAAAGGGATCATGATACTTTAATGCTCATCAAGGGAAAAATACAGCTTTAATACAGAAGAGTAGGTCAATTATGACTGGAGAAGGAAACTGGGAAAATAAAAGCAACTGCAGTAAAGGAGTGAAGTTTCAGAAGGTTAAAAGTTTGCGCCAACCAGCTACAATCAAGCCTGCAAACTCATCTCTGGAAAACAAAAGTATATTGCTAGATTCATTCGCATTCATGTATATTCCAACCATTACTTTATAGATCAAAAGCAAATAACTGAACATCATACCTGATTTTGTCTCATCAGCGTCAAAATTCGGATAATCATGTATTTCGTCAGTGGACAGTGTAACTAAAGGAAAAGCTGAATAAAAATATTTCATTTGGTGAATAGCATTTACCTGTTTCATCAGCATCAGCATTTTTCCAAGATTCCTGGGGAATGCAGCGTGGTCGACAATGTTGAGGATTAGAAGTCCACTGCTCAACTATTTCCATAAGGCGTGAATTCGTCTGCACTTGCTTTTGCTCAGAAACGGGAATATTTTTTAAACACAGTAGTATCTAAAAAAGAGGTTTAGACATCAGCAATTTCACCGTTTCTTGCACAATAACATAAGGCATAGAATTCCAAAAGCAAATTCCCAATTAAATATATATATATATATATATATATATATATATATCGGGAAAGAATGTGAGTTTGTATTTTCAAACTGTTAGGTGACATTAGACGGCTTCTAAGATTATTATGCACTTATTAGGATAATAATACAAATATGAGGTAAGATACCTACTACCCCTAAATTTACTGTATTCATTTAGCCTTCAGAAAATAGTTTTTCACCTACTTGCTTTTTCAGTTCCCAGTCTTTCGGCGCTGCATCATACATAAAGGCAGCCAACATATCAAGACCATTGTATTGACGAAAAAGTTTGAGACAAGCGTCCTCTTCTGTACTGATAAGACGACTAAGAAGTTGTAGTCGAGTATATCTAGTTAGACATTCCTGAACCATTACTTGTAGAAGTAAAGTTATATCTTCTGCATGTTTGAAGGATTCTAGTTGCAGCAGCTGGAGAATACGCCTTTCAACCTTGAAAATAAATTGTAAAAATGGCATTCGATAATACGTAACCTACACAATGAATACTATAGCATAAACCTGACAATATTTTGACATTTCTTAGTACACCTAATGTAAGGATCAATTCACATGTTCATTTAGAATACCTAATGTACTAGTCTTTGTTTCACCGGGCATATAATCTGGTATGATAATTTTTGCTTTTGATTGACACAAATGCTTTTGTGACTTTAGAAAAAGAAAAATATCTCACTCACCTACTATGCAACTCTCGACAGATGAATAAGATCCTGATCATACATCTTCTAAGAATATAATCGTATATAATTTAGAAAGAGTATCTCAAAGAACAAAGTGGGTGATAAAACTATGAATACTGTTTATATTTCACTAATGGAAGGAATACCATCTTCAAGAAATGAAGCGATACTTAATAGTTCGCTAGCTCCTCTTTTCTATTTGACCCACGTGCATACCCACCGGTAAAAGTAGAACCAATATATCTTTCGAAGAGCAAACATCACAAAAAACTATGTGATAATATGAAATTGAAACAACAGACATAGTAGACAAAAGAAAACAATAAATGAAGACCAGTGAGACGCTCAAAACGCCAAAGGTGGAAATTACGTACATTTGTATCTCTGTAAAATTATTTTAAAGATACGGCAAGTTTTATTGGAGGTACACAATCCTGGCTTTCAAACATCTAGAGTACTCTAACTGTTATCCATACTTAAAAGTATGGATCAAGCGAACAAGTAAGTCATAATGCCAGGTTTTTTGTTTTATCAACAAATAAAAACGCTAGAGACTCAAAACCTTTTGGTACAAATCAGTCTTACAGAATTGTTTTACATTTGAGAAATGCCAACAGTATGCAAAACATATTCCACTTTGTTGATGATAATCGAAATATTTCCGATTAAGACCAACATCCATACTAACCCTGTGCATAGTCAAGAGGGTACTTTTGCTCCAGTGAACTAAATCATGAGAAGCTAGGTGAAGACAGTGTTCTTTTTGCTATTTAGAAAATGAAAATGAGCAGTGATAATGAAAATTTCTGGAGTATACCATTCATTATCACAGGTTAAGACGGCAGTAAAGTGACGTCCATAATAATTTAATTTAAAAGACAAACTAATACGGCATTACATACTACCACAGTGCCCAAATTTTACACTAATATCTAGTTTATAAACAAATTCGCGATCTCTTAACTGCTATCTGAGTACCATATTTCACAAAGCTAATAAGGCACATCATGGTGTAATGTGTTCTGTAATTACTCATCAAGTTACTTGAAATAACTACACTTGTAAATAAATAAGGCAAAAGAAGCAAAATACTGTTTTGGAGGGTGAAAGGCACTGTAACACAATATCAAAAACCTGACTGACTGGTTTCAACATAGGGCTTTCCACCGATGTGCAGGGGTTCGAGTCACCACACTCCATTTAGCACACAAAGTAAGAGACAGTGAAAGGAAATGCAAAATTGAGACACTAAACAGAGATGAGGCAAAAAGAATGGCAATATCGAAGAACACTGTAGCTTCATTGGATGCATCTGCGCCACTGAGAACGATTTTGAGCCATATCACCAGTTATCTCCAGCCGCTGGTCTCTACCATCCCGAGGACTCCAACCAGTCAGGGAGTTTGTATCTTCCTACGTGACAAGCTTGAACTAACTGTCGTGGATTTCATTGGCTGATGGGGCCATGTTTTGGTTTGCCAACCACTAGCTCTTTCCAAACCTGATCCCATGTCAGCTAACATTGCCCGTCGAAGACGGCGATGCCTAGACATGCGTAACACAAGTCCTAACCATCTCAGTCGATGTAACTTCACAGCCTCGTCTATTGATTTCTCCTACGTACCTAGCACTCGACGCTTAACCTTAATACTGCTCCAATTATACCATTTAACTAACACGGGAGAAAGAAGGCAGACACCTATGATCATAACCAGGCTTTTCATGTCTTCCATAAAGGAGGGCAGAGCAGCACACAATCAAATGTAAGGGTAAAACACTCGAAATTGCTAACTTTGAGCTTCAACGTTTCTCAGGTGCATTTCGAGGAGCATAACTTTTATGGATATTTCACCCTGCTGATAGCGTGAACGCGAAGTTTAACAGAGGACAAACAACATAGGGTGAAATTATGAAGTTTGTAAATATGTTATGAATACAGAAAAGCTTTTTGTAGCCATGAACTTTGTAAAAAGTTATAACTTACTACAGTTGTGTCTTTTAGACGGACTTTTTCTTGTAAATGTTTGCTGGTTGCACCCATTATACCAGAGCAAGCTGGGGTACCACAATAACACTTCTGTTCAGAAACCCTGTCAAAAAAGTATTCAGTGTCAAAGTGGTTAGATAAAAAATACTAAATAATGTAAAATCTCCGTATCTGTAGTAGTTTGGGAAAAAAGCATTAAATTTTAAAACAATTAGTTCCCTTCACGAATTCAGACAAAGCAATAAGACGTAATTTGTCTGAATCGTGTAGTGCATTTGCGCAACACATTTCGAACTATCTTATGACACACGAACTTGTCATAGGAATATACGTGGAATTAATGGAGTTAAGAGGTGGAAAAATAGACTAATTGTTTTAAATTTTTAAAGAGAAGACTCCTTTCACACACTATCAAAATGTTAAATGGACTTGTTAACTCAAGGTGTAAAATTATCATCGAACGCGACACGATGGAACTTTATGAACTATATATTAAAAACCATGTTTTTCCGAGACAATTATATAAAACTTTGAAATTCAGTATATAACAACTAAATATCTCTGATCTTGTTCGTCTTACAAAATCATGACGAAAATGTCACACAAAAGTTATAAGGACTACTTGTTATTTATGCCGATGCGTCACCTATTTTATCCAAATCATTAATAATATGCTACATGAATTTCCTTCAGTTTCGTGGCGGCTACTCAGAAAACAAAAACACAAAATAAGTTGAAGAGTTCAGCTCATGATAGAAACCGCGTAGACTTCTGGTGAATCCCGATGAATATATGACAAATCTTTCTGATGTTACTCTATTTATTCGTCAGAAAGAAGCTTTATTCCTTGGACCTAAATTTTGCAGTCCTCGTATAAAATATTCGGATTTAGCCATCCATGCTGAGTTCGAAAACTTGAACGACAATTATAGAAACTGTAAATTTGACCGTTGAAAAAAAAGTTTACTTGTGATATTCCAACTCTCTTTCGCCTTTGACCTTGGCAACCTGTTTGAATTTTTTGGGCCTGCTATTATAACATCTACATATTGCATCCAACCTACCATTTACTCCATTATATATCAACCAAATATGTATTCTAAAAGGATCATTTACTCCCGTAACTTTATCATTCATTTACGACCTAATGACTTTCATATTCCCAAGAAATCAAGGAGGAAGCATCGTAGTGGTTGGCAGAGAGCTCTTAAACGTACACCAATACACTTAACTACGGTCCCTGTCATAATGAACACTAACTACCGCTCTCTGCCAAACAAGATAATGTACCTACAATCCTTGATGTCCACTGACACTTATCATAATACTGCGATAATCACATTACAAGAAACATGGTTACACGAACTGTACGATGACAATCTCATCTCACTAAAGGACTTCATCCTATTTAGACAAGACCGAAAATGTTGTAATAAGGAAAATGGGGGCGGAGTAGCAACTTTCATTCACTCCAAATGGTCTATTTCTAATAATGTTTGCTTCTCATTCTCAAATGACTTCATAGACTGTATCACCGTCAAATGTCGTCCCAAACATCTCCCCAAATATAAACACATCTTTATCACAAACATGTACATTTCTCCAAGTTGCTCACTATCTAATCTTTCAAATTTTGCTGATGAATTCACCATGTTTGCTGCTGCTAACTTCGATAACTCTCTATCTAATATTACTGGGGACTTCAACTCGTCAGACTGCCATTTCCTTGAAGCACTTGGTCACTCTAACATTGTCAAATTTCCCACTCGACTAGACAAATCACTTGATTTAGTTTTTACAAATGACGAAGGAATCTATGAAGCACCGTGCACCGATCCTCAACTCTGATCACTCTATTGTTTGTGTTCTACCAAAAATATACAGCAAAAGAGAGACTTTATCAAAGAGGAGATTTTGTGAGCCATTGATCACTAGAAAGTGAAACACAGTGAATTGACGAATCGCCATACAAAAAACAAAAAGCAAATAAAACTTTCAAAATCAAACAACTTCAACTCAAATCTGTTTGACAACATTCACCGTAGAAAAGTAATCTGTGAAGGGAAGAACTTAACAAGTGCACGTTTCTCGACTTCCCTTCTGCTTTCGACTCTGTACCTAGATGTCTCCTGCTAAATAAGCTCTCTTTGACAAAAACCGAGTCCTGGGTCACTAACTGGCTGCATTCCTACTTCTCTAACAGAATGCAGTACACCGTATACAAAGGTAAATCATCCTCTGCCGTGCTCACTGAAGCCGGAGTCCCCCAAGGCGCTGTACTCTCCCCACTTCTCTTTTCTTTCTTTCTACATGACTTACCATCTTCAAATGACATTAATTTTGTCAAATATGCTGACGATCTGACTGTATCTTTGCCTGTCAAGTGTCAAAGCGAATGCTCTAAACTTAATAGCTTTCTATCAGAAATCAGCCAGTGGTCCAAGGAAAATGGTCTTACCCTTAACCCCTCCAAATGCCAAACAGTCAATTTCACCTTTAGGCATAAATCCGACCTAAACAAACTGGTTGGCTCTCACGAGGTACGCAACATAGACGGCACTGAAATAGAAACCAAGTCGGAAATTAAATACCTAGGCGTCATTCTATCTGCTGATCTCTCCTGGTCGTCTCACATCTTAGCGATTTCTAAGAAAATATTCCATCTTACCTTCTACATTAAGAAGTTAAAACATTCTGGTATAACCCAACCCTTACTCCTACAATTCGTTAACTCTCGCATTCTGCCTATTATTCTCTATTGTTCCCCCTTAGTTTTTCTCGGGCTACTGAAGAAAGACTATAACATATTACGCAGGATGTTAAAGGTTGTCAGATGGTTAAGCAACGTGCCACTTAACCAGCTTGTTAATATTCTGGTCGACAGGCACATGGACTCATGTGAAAAATGGGCCACATCCATTTTATCTAACTTACACTACCCTCTTCACTCACAACTCTCCCCTTGCATCTCATCAGGTAAAACCAGAAGCCTATATAGAAAACTATATGCTCGCACCAGCAAGTACAAAAACTCAACCATACCCTACTTAGCTTGTGTTCTGTGCGATAAAGAAAGCATTAGGCGTGACACCTATAATTCATTAAATAGTCAGTAGTACAACTGGATCTCGTCTTTCCAACTCATATCATCAATAGGTACAACATTTTCTTTCTCTCTCTTCTTTTTCCGTTATGTGCTGCATTGTTTGTTTCTTCCGCTTACGCCAGTAAATATGACAGCTCCTACTTTTCTAACACCTTCAAACACTGTTCAGCTTTACCTTTGCTACCGGCATGCCAATGTGTTGTTGTAATAATGAACTGAGATTTCCTTAATCTATGTAGAATTCTATTTATCGATAATGTACTAACTGGATGCAATACTGTAGTAAAAATGCTGAGAATTCCATTCTGTATCACATGTACTGTTTTGGAATAAAGCAAATTATTATTATTAACTCTGACTGTACACTGCTGGCTTTTCTATCTTAAGTAGTTATTTTGTAGGAAAATTCAAGTGTTCGTACAATAAAATTGTTCAAAAACAAGTTAGCGCTATGATAAAACAAAAGGCCAAATAAGTAATGCGTAGATATTCAGTGTCATATGGCTTTCAACCGACCATCACATACTTAGTGCTTTTTTTATTAATATAAAAAGGCAGCACCGTCATCTTTTAGACCCTTGTTCAATAAAACTACCCTCTCATGAGCTAAATACTTTCAACATCTACCAAGCTAGAAACGTAAAGAAACGGCATACGCAAAAAAATGACTAAAGGAAGTTCTTGCTTTAAAAGAGAAAAATCCGTCGCATGCAGGTGTATCGCCAGGTCTAATAGCTGCAAGCAATTGATTATCACATGGAGATAACTGTCGTTACACAGAATTCATTGTTCTGAATCTGTATGAACCCTATCTTCTATAGTTGAACTTTGTCGTTATACCAGTAACTATTCGAATTAATGTGCCATTTTCGGTCAGTATGAAATTAGGAGTATTACCTGTAGTACTTCTGGTCCTCAGTGTATTTTTAGTAATATAATGTTAAATGTATTTCCAGCGGATTTTTCATTCTGCATAATTCTTTGGATGAATAGGTGAGCGAAACCCTAATTTGTTATTTATAGCACTAGCAGCAACGAACCATTCAGACTGGCTACAACACCCACTCTAAAAAAATATTCATTCACACTATTTTTACGACGCAAAGCAATTTTCGGGGTCCTTTGTAAAACTACAATTACTATGCAAGTCAGAATGTAAAGCTTCACGTAACGAATTGAAAAGCTGCTCAAGAACAGCTGGAGTTTAAATATAGTTGCCACTCAGTCAACCAGTTGTGTAATGACAAATAATACCACATAGCTGCTGAAAACCTCGGGAAACAGGGTAGGACCAGAAGTCTATTAGCCGATGATGAACCGACAGTCCACGATGTCTTACTAAGCGTTAGTGTACATCTGACTTCTGAATGTGAAAATCTAAGTGCTTATTTCAAAAAAAATCATGCAGTATAACCTGGGGGTAAAAACTAAGGAACAGTAATAGATACACAAAACATACCCATACTGAACAAACTGATAATCTATAGTTACTTCTTGACCAACCGGTATATCTTCTTTAGCAAAAAAGCCAATACGGATTTCCCCGTCCACACTCCACTGTAAAATGTATATTAAAGGAAATGTTATTCCGTAATTTGAAATATGTATTAGTAGTAATAGCAGTAGTAAGAACCATGATTTACTAAACTAATCCATTTAGAATTGTCCAAATAGTATGTGCAACCTGTCTTTGACTTATTCGATATTATTTTGATGTGAGTGACCATATTTGGTGTTGCATGTGCCCGTCTGAGCCATACACAATATTAGCTCGGAAATTAATAAATAATAAAAATAACTGGAAATGAAAAGGATCCTTGTTGTTACGAATTTTTTGGGAACACTACGTGATACATATGTAGACAGATCCCACCATTTGGAACATCTCCTGTTTATGGTAAGGCTTTTTAATTGTGTTTAAAAACTGAAATTATACAGTAGTTAATTAAGTGGATTTCACCAGATACTTTGTCTGTAAAGTGGTTTATAAACTTGCAAATAATGAATACACTGCTCATGTTCTCGAATGATTAATCCGTGATTTTGACATTCTGTTGAGTACATGGTTTCAGAAAAATCTAGCTGAGACCAAGATGCCATGTTAGACAAATGATTTAGATGTACATCCGAACAAATTACGAAATGATGACTCATATTACCTGTTCTACGATTGAAACCTTCGGAACTTTGCAAGTTGATAGCTGGAAGGCCAAATTACTAATTCCAGAACTATTCGAAGTCCGGTTCACTCTAATATTTATCCCTACCGTTAAGCCTACACTAACAGAATACAGGTATTTTTCTAGGATTTTAAGTCCATCTTCAAGAATTTAATTTAAGAATTCAACTGCCAACTTGAAAAAAAATTTAATTTACTCATGAGAGTAGTTATTTACCTTTTGTGTAACACAGTTTGGTTCACAGGAGTGATTTACAAATCTTGCCCAGTTTCCTTTACTACCAGCGTCAATAAATCTGTCTGATTCCAAAGCCATGAAATAATGATGAGCATGTCCTAGACGTTCATATCGCCGAATACGACGGCGAAACTCAGTAAAATCGATCACTTCTCCCACGTATTCTATAATAAATGACCCTCTAAAACGAAATATTCTAATTAACCAGTTTGTTATGAGAACTTACCTTTCAATGTTATCTGTGGTCATAAGCCCCCAGCCTTTATCTTTACCAGCGTAGAAAGGTTTGGTTGGCGCATAAAGCCGCATTTGGAACTGACGATTACTGCAAAAGTCACCAGCTGCACAATTAGGTCCACATTCAATGTTTAGAGCTCGGTTAATGCAACCTGGACCACACGCAAGTATACCTAGTTCAAGTTCTTCTGAAGTAGGAGCGCTGCAGTCACAAACCCACTGCCTCATTTCATAATGTAGTGAACTGGCGCGCAGTCCAGAAGTCCCAAGAAGTTTACCACTACCTGGATAAGTTGGCTTACTATACGCAGATAAATGAACCGAGTTCAAGAGACTGTAGTCATTGTTTAAAAGATGAGTGTATTGCGGAGTAGGTGCTTCAGGATATTCTGCGAAAATACTGCTGAGATTACTACAGCTGTAGGGCAGAAACAAAAGACGGATCATTAAGAGGAAGAAAACATTTTAATTACAAACCCATATAATTCCTAACAGACCGTTTTCCACGCACCTTTTTTAATCAAGTGGCTCCAAAGATCTAAATTATAGAACGCCTAATCGTGTTAACTACATAGTATGGGAGAACTATCACAACGAAAATACCAATAAGTATTACGAGGTTATCAGTAAGTCATTGTATCCAACTATTTGAACTCAACCAACTATAATACCAGTAAATAATTACAGGGTCGGGCACTAGCCCATTAGCCAGACGCATGTGAGTGTTAGAGGGTGAGATGTATTTTACCTTTTCAATCACTCAGACGTCAGGAAGTAGAGTCGAGTAGTGATTACAGTATAGCTGCATTGAAAGTAAACAACGAAATGCTTTTTTGTAAATTCTGTAAGCTTTGTAAATCAGTTTCTGGATTTGTATCCAAAAAGCGAGAAAAAAACTTCAACAATATTTCTTAGATTTGGTGGGCACATCTTTATGATATTCAAAACTACCTAACTGCAGTAATGAAGTGTTCATGAGAAAAAACGTAAGCTGGTGAAGAAAAGACATTCCAATTGAATTACTGTGTAATATTACGTTACTGTCAAACAAAACAAACGAGTTCAACGCTATGCATGGAACAAATAGTAAAACCAACTAATGTATGCACAGCATACGAAATGCTGCAGCTATCCGTTTTTCAAGTCAGCAATTAAATCGTTACTCAATCAACTCCCAATGATTACTGCCGGGTACATCAAGTCACATTTGATTCGTTTTGACCTGTTGTATTAGAGAAATTCCAATCGTCTATTACTCAAATCCTACTAACTTCCCAAACTTCGACTGCACGGATCTTCCGTGGCTGATAGTAAGTGACAATCACATTAGTTGATGTTCATTGGACAACACTCATTAAAATAGTGAGACTTTTTCCATGAAGTGTTTAAAACATTATGAGGATGTCAAAACATCCTTTAATATCTCTTATGCGCGAGGCAACACATCTATTCAGAAAAATGTAAATCTTCTCTCCACAGGCAAAAACTAAGCAACCAAGACCGGCTTTATTGAATATGAAATCTGCTTGTTGCCAAAATAATCAAAATGAGCATCTTTAAGTTGCAATTAAGTAGACTTACTCAGATAACCTTTCATACTGGTTGGGAGTGTTTGGTAGGAAAGAATTAATTGAGACATGGGACTTAATCTTCCTTTTCCGTAGATCATATTTCGATTCACAGGGTTCAGTGCTTTGCACACTGACAACTGTTAGTGATGCAGGTTTTATGTATTCAACTACATTTTCAGAACACTGAATATCTAACATAGGCAGATCTCTACTATATTGTAACTGGCCACTGTCAGCCCCTTCACATACTTTTTGATCCTGCTCTTCCAGAGGCTGGAAAGACATCTTGTTGATAGAACTAGATTCACTTGAAGTCTGCGACAGTGAGTCAGGAACTGAAGCGATAGACTCAAGGAAACCATTGACTGTGTCGATTAACTCATCCACGGGACAGTTCTCAGCATTACCATCTGCAGCATTATCTAAGTAGCTCGTATCCAAATCCGCATCCGATTCCAACTCCATGCAATCGCTATCCACCGACTGAACCTCCAAATAGTTGGGTGTATTGTTAGCTGATGGTAATGGTATTTCATCTGCAAAACAAAAGGTAATTTCCAGACGTTCGAATATAATCTGTAAGGAAAACCCTTTGAAATAATCTTATCCATGGACCTACGTCAACTCAAACCCTATGACCCTTCCAAACCACGCAATGGTAACTGAGCGAATTCTTTTTCCCATCTTTTAGCTCAAGGCAACGAGGCGAACTGTAGATGCTACAAAATTTAAAAACTGACAGACCGTACTGACTGACCATGCAATGAATCTTAACACAATACACCCATGAAAATGTTGCTCATTTATAAACAACCTCACTGACATTACTTAGAAAACCATAGCTGATAAAGAAATTTTATTGCCAAAATGTACAGGTTTGAAAATACAGCTGAAAGATACACTCAGCGCTTTGCAGACTGATGTTATTGGACCTAAGCGGAAAGTGTACACGTAGGTTTGGATGTAATTAAATCAACACTCAAGGAAGATAGAAAGGTGATCTGACATGAAACCTTGAAGGCGCAGATACAGAATGAATTGTATGGACAACAGTTCACTTAATAAAGATTTTTAAGAAAAAACATGACAATCTCATAGGAAGAATGTTCCAAAAACACCAACGAAGCGACTATGCCTTACCTATATTCACACTTTTGGAAGAATGAAGAGACTGCGACGTTTGTTTCTGAGGTTTGATATTACGTTCTTTAAGTTCTTGTTTTATAACTTCTTTGGAACGATGTTTAGGTTCACAGGTAGAATGTCTGCTTTCATCTGGACTAGAACCAGACTCGTCTGAGCTATCATCACTGGAGTGTTCTCGTTTAATAGATTTATCTTTCCTGGAAATAGGTGAGTGATTCTCACTGTCAGATGAACTAGAACTTATGGAATCACCATCGCTATCACTTTGTTCTGATGGTCGCCTATAACCCAGTTTTGGTTGGGTTTTGCGATAGACGTCTGCAAGTGTTCCACTCACTCTTGAGGTCAACTTTTGCATCTGAACATATTGCACTCCATCAACTTCCTCCCGTTTAATACCAGAATTCTCTTTCACCGTCAACCTTCGATCATTAGTCTGGTTATCTTTGGAACAGCTTTTAACTTTCTTGACACTTAGTAGACGACCATCTTTCTCAAACTCTCTTTTTTTCCTTTCAGGAGTATTCGAGTGATGGTGAGAGCGTTTCAATTCTGTGCTATGGGATTCTTTATGATTTACTTCTGGGCGAGACCTACTGAGCTTTTTTTGGCTCGGTTCGCGTTTTATCGTTTTCTCAACAACCACTGACCTTTTCTGTCCGCTATCATGCTTTCCTGAAGTTCTCGAATGACTACGCTCTGTAGACGAACGGCGACGCTCTTTGGAATTCTGATGGGACCGCGACCTATGTCTAGTACGACTGGAGCGATGAACTGATTTCGAAGAATTAGACGAACGGCGACGCCGTAGATGACGATGTCCACTAGACCTCCTAGACCGAGACCTTCTGTGGGACCTAGAGTGCTTACGTGAATGCGAACTTAATCGCCGGCGTCCATTTTTCCCTTTCGGTGTCTCATCGTTTTGCTGTGACTGATTTGCTACAGCCGGATTGGCTATCAATGGAGTAGCAATCATTTGCGCGGACCGAAATTTCTGAGGATTAACAAACTGCATTCCTGCAGTTGGGGGTATCGACGCCTGAACAAGAGTAGGATCGGTCGCATGCGCATGAATCAGATTACGGGTCGCAACTATTGGGACAGGGTGGTGAATTGGTTGAACATTAAGGCTCATAAGATTCGGAATAGGAGGGGTCTTCGCAAGCATATTTGCAGCAGGAAGCGTAGCTTTATTTCCAACATTATTTGTCGGTGTTAATGACTTGTCCACTGCACATGTTGCAGCGAATTGTCCACTAATGCCTACTGAACTCACAGGTTGATTATCAAAGGACTCATTTGTGGAATGAACCGGTTGTTGGACACCTTTCGAGTTATCTGAAGCCGCACTCGATGTTTCACTCTCTTTAGTTGGTAGAAATAAGTCAGCTTTGACTTCAGTAACCGGAAGTTTATTTTTAGGGGGTAAAACACCAACAGGGAGTTGAAACGGTTTCGATCTTTTCATCATTGCTTGAAGTTTAGGCAAAGTTTTTGGCTCTTCGGTTTTCACATCTTTGGATGATTCGAAAATGCCAGGAGATTCAGCAGGCACTTCTGAACCAGAAAAGGATTTAGCAGACATTCGCATGGTAAATTTCAGTGGTCCTTGTGTTTCTACCGCTTCGAATTTCGGGGATTTGGGGGATAAATCAGTATTAGCTGATATTTCTGCATTGACAGTTTGATTAGGGTGAAGTGAAGGTACGCTTAGTAGTGCTACATTGGAGGCGGGAGGTAATGGGATATTACAAACATCGCTATCATCCTTTGATACAGCCACGTTAACGGGCCCTTAAAGAAAATTAATTAGATTCAAAACTACTAAATCACATACTTGGTAATGGGATTGCTGACAGTTCAAGTGACGATGGACAATCGTCTAGTTCGCTGGGACATCATAAGATTTAATAAAAACCTTTAACTTACTCCGTTGGTGAGGCTGGGTCATACTCCATCAATGATAATGATATAAAAACGTTAAAAAAAAGGATAAAATCACAATCCTTTCATAGGACCAAGGACGTCCCACCCAGTTTACATGGGCGCCCGAAAACGCCTGCAGAAGTTAAAACAAAGAAAAATTGCAGTTATTGTTACTGCCTACGTTTTACGTCATATTGCTCCTGGGAAAAAGTGGACATAAATGCGTAAGCCGGACAGTAACTCAGGGTTTTCATAGGCTATTACAAGTGCAGAATTCAACAGTAACAAAAGTGTATAAATTATTGGAATTGATCACTCGTTGATGACATTCGCTCCTGTTGTTAGCCTGCTGGCTAGAAATATTTTTACTTTGCCCTCTGAAATGTTTCGCACTTGTATTATATAAGTGCAACTAGGTTGAGGATTAATACACTTTTCAACAAATAAACTGTCCAAATATCTCCAAACTGGTAAGTTCAACATCCCCTAATGTTGGAACACTGTACTCATTTGTTGTGCTTTATCACCAATTTTTTAACTCTACCATCTCACCATGTCCCGAAGCTTATTTTAACTGAACAGTGAGGTATTCAAATACTACATCTTCCCACGTTTCGGTGACAACAAATAAAAGTAGTTTGTTTAGGCTGAAGTAGACCCTTATTAACTCAGGGAGGTATGCTAACCCGTAGTTGGTCCTAGTCACCGGCAGAGGATCGTAGTCTGACGTATCGCTAGCCCTCCTAAAACACAAAACCAATAGAAAGACCTGAAAAGACTTCAACACCCAAGAATTATGTAGAACAACACAACTTCAATGGCCTCATTAAGACGATATAACGCGGGCTGGTTAAACGACGACCTTACGATAGCTGCCTGAATCAGCAAAGATTTGAGAAGACATGGTGCAGAAGTTCTGAGAATCTGCGAGAATAGATGGAATGCAAGTGGAATATTGAAATTGTCAACTGGAGAGACAGTAATCTACTCCGGTCACCCAGACGACAACAACGGGCACACCGAGGGAGTGGCTATCATAATGTCACCAGCAACAGCCAACATCCTAATGCGGTGGGAAGCAATCTCCTCCGGGACTATGACAGCACGGTTCGACTGGAAAGAAGTGAAGGTTACGAGTATCCAATGCTACGCCTCTACAAACATCTCAGAACAAGAGAAGAAGGAAGATCTCATTAGACAACTGCAGACAGTAATGGACAAGATCCAAATGGAGACATCAAAATCTCAATAGGCCATATACGTGCCGATCTGGGAGCAGACAATGATGGGAGAGAATTCATTATGTGTTGGGAGGCTCTCGTTTGAATGAATGGCAACGGAGAACTGTTTGCAGATGTCTGCACCTCCGATTACTTGGTGATTAAAGGTAGCATGAGCATGAAAATGGGTATGCACAAGGCGACATGGATTTGGCCTGGCGGAAACACCACAAACCAGAAAGACTCGACCTCAATCTCAGAGAGATGAAGACAGCCTGCAGGACACAGTGTCGAGAAGGGCAGGGGATGCGGGCTCGGAAAAACATCTAGTACAAGAGAGGAGGACGATGAGTTATGTGTACATTTCACAGGATGAAGAAGTGAAGAAGAGTGCTGTGAAAGACGAAAGACATTGTATCATATAACTAGGTGTCTTTCCGGGAAGAGATCAACGCAAGTGGTGAAATCAATGAAAGATGGTCAAGGGAACCTAATTATCAAAGAGGAGAGTCAAATACACCAGTGGGCTGATCACTTCAAAGAACCGCCTACAACTCGTCCAGAAATACCACCGACAGCACCCGCAGAACTACCTGTGAGTGGACACCTATCCTCCAACGAAAGCGGAAGTCTTAGATGCAGTCAAGCTACTGAAGTCCGTTAGGGCAGCTGGACCAAACGGAATCCCTCCTGAAGCACTGAAAACAGATCCAGAGACGACTGTGCTGACGCCACTTTTGCGAAAGGTTTTGAGGGAAAGATACCTAGTGGTTTGAAGTTCAACTACCAAAAAGGGCAACTCAGGCCTCTGCAAGAACTGGCGCGAAATCATTCACCTATCCACACCGAGCAGAGTATTAAGTCGCTTCATCTTGGAGAGACTGAAGTATGCACTGAATGCAGAACTCTGACTGAAACAAGCTGGATTCAGTAGGAGCAGATCATGTGCAGACCGAACTGCAAGTCTACGCATCATTGTCGAACGGAACACGGAATGGAAGTCGAACGTCCAGCTCAACTTCATCGACTTTGAAGAGGTTTTCGACAGCGTTCATCGCGAAGTAATTTGGAAACTTCTCCAACACTATGGAGTGCCCAAAATCTTTGTCAATTTCATTTAACAGCCATATGACGACGCCACCTGTTCAGTGTTCCATGGCGGAAGTCTCAGCTTTCAAAGTGAGTAGAGGAGTAAGATGGATAAGACTGCCCGTTATCACCGATGATATTCCTAGTTGTGGTGGACTGGATTATGCGTCAGACAGTGTGTTGGGAGGCGTCTGAGTATGGCATGGATCAGATGGTGCGAGGGATAGGTGAGAGATTATGGACAATCGTGGACCCAGGTAACAAAGAGAGTGGAGAGTAGGACAAAGTGAAGGCGTGTTGCACTCGGAAACCAAGGGAACGAAAATAATAGCATAATAATGGATGCATGGTGCCTTATTCTTGTTCAGACTGTTTGCACTTAGATTTTTAGTGTGGTCCATTAACGCTTTGGGAGTTGGTTGTTTTTGATAACACTGAATCATGCTTTTAGTTCTACTTGAATACGTCTCCGAAACCCCTGGTTAATTCTAAGTGCACTCAGTGGAAATTCTTTGATTATCCATGGGCACAAGGGGGAATTTCGTTAGAGTTTACGGGATAGAGTGCGGTGCGGTTTACCTAGGTCTCTAACACGCCAATTATGTGATTACTTCACCTTCGAACAGGTTTATTGTAGAGTATGTTTTCTTTTATACAGAAGCTACCTTGCCAGTGTGTTGCATTTCTTCCCGTTGACAGGTGAATGTTTCAAGATGCTAATTAGCCTACAAAACAAATTATGAACTAAAACTCATGGATCAGTTCACAAATTTAGAGGTTCCTTGAAAACAAATAACCTACCTGAGTAGGATAATAAAGCTGTTTAACGACTTGTAATAGTCACTCATAATGACGGCGCTATTCCAAAGGCGCTTCAATTGTTTATCTAACTACAAAATAAATATATTAACTGACATCAGCCCACAAGGGTTTCTTACTTGAACATCACCACTTGGATGTGTATTCTTTTAGAAGTGGAGTCTGACATTTTCGCGCGCGATACTGTGATTTTTAGTTCAAGTTCCTAATAAAGGCAGTGGAATTTCACTGCTTGGTCTGATGGTAATAGCATGTTGCGTCGTAATAACCAGTAAATCGTTACCTAGTGGGTTTTGCAGACACGACCACATCTGCTGTGGTCATGAAAGTATTAAGGCGTTTGGATTTTCAATAACCCGGCTTTTTGAGGTGAAAACGCACTAAGAATGGAGATGTATATCATGATTGATGGTCACACTCACACAAAATCAATTGCGTAAGGCGGGAAGGAACAACAGCTGGATATATAAACAGGAGAGCATATTCTTCTTGCACTGTTAGGTGAGTGCTGTATTGAGCTGATTCAGTCCCCAACAATTGTGAGAGTTTCCGCAACCCATATGGTGATTTCACGATGTGAAGTGTTCTAAATATCCAGGATGGAGTTCAGCTGATTTCCTAGATTGCTAACTTCTGATAGACCACATACTGGTAGAGTATGCCAATCAACCAGCCGACAGCGTTTGTAGTAAGCCTAGTTTATATATCCTCGCATAAACAAGGCTTAAAGCTGACGGTTAACCTGCTTTTAGCAAGCGTAACATTGGTTGCCTGCTTGAATTACCGGGCCACCTAAATCTCCATCCAACATAATGCATCACGTTTCCTGTAATTCTTATTGTTTGAGCCATTCAATTATGTGTTTGGACTGCAATGAGCACTCATACACACTTTTAATGTGCTTCCAACCTACTTCTGTTCATTTCCCGGAGACGGAGGAAAAATATAACAAGTAAATTCTATGTTCTCACTCCTCTGTCCTAGTTTTATGCACATAGACGCTCGTGTCTCGCTCCACTTCATTTAAAACTACGAGTGTGTTTTGTCTTTTTGCTTCAAACTTTCTCGACATTGACGTCAACTAAAATATCTATCAACCGATTTCAGCAGGTATGGAATGGCTTTGATTATGTGAATTAAAATCCACCGTGCAACACTACAAATGGCATGATCATTGGAAGTGGATTTGCTCACTGTGTTTGACATCCAAGTTTTAATTTTATATTCATATTCTTATTTGAAAAACGTTGTCAACATAAATTCCGCTTAATTGTTTACCCCTGCATAGCGTGAAGAGAAAATAAGATGCAGTATTGTATTACATGCTGAAAATTCCATATTTGCAACAAGAGTACTCTTTGGAATAAAGCCATCATTATTTTTATTATTACGTGGCTTTCACGTCTTCTTAATAAGGCGTCTTAATAAAAAAGTTGAGACCGATGTTTGGAGTCTCTTATGTCGGTTATGATGGAATAATTCTGTATTTTCCGTACTGGAATGTAAAAGGAAACACGACAGGAGTTCAAGTATCATTTAATGAATATCTCATGCTTCTTGTCCTAGCAAAGGGACGTTGAAGGACACGTTCCTACTGATGTGTTCAATTAAATCTTCCTACACGAATGCAAGCAATGTACGAATATATGACACGTCGAAATGTTAATGCAAATTGGTGGTTGGACGACGTTGAGCTTTTGTGTTGTCTGTCCACAGCATTATGGGAAATCTGACGCAGATTAATTTATGTGGGCTGGAGACACAGCCTACTGGATATAAAATCGAAAATAGGGGCAAAACTAGACCCCGACAATTTTTTAGCACAAGGAACCTTTCAGTTCAAGCTGAATGCCTTCAAATATGCCGGAAATGCAGCACAATTCAAGTTCCACGCCCATCGTGAAGGATGAAATTGCAAAGTACGCATTTACCGTAGCCATCAGAGCACATTTGGAGACATTATTTTGAGTTGTCAAGGAAACCTCTATGGAAGAACACTGAAGCTCACTGAAA